TCCTCTGTTCTCGTACACGACGACCTCATGACATTCTGAGGCTTTGACACAGCCGATGCGATCGGCCACCATGCCTTCCTCATGTAGGACGTGCATTGCGTCCACGCTTATAACGCGGGGGACCGTATCTTCGTCCTTCTCCCTCCCTCCCAGCTGTGACAGCAGTGAGCATGCTTGTGTGAATGGGGTTTTGTCCTCCTTCCATGCGAATAACAAGACGATTTTGCCTTTAGTTCTTAGTATTCGGCACTTCTGGTCTGCGACAGTCACCTCCATCAACGCGTCATAGTGTTTGCGTCTCATGCTCGTTCTGAACGTGCTGCCATTCAGCAGGGATGCAAGTCCGGGAGAGATGGAGATATATTTGTTGCCAGTGGCCACACAAAAGCTTATTCCTAGGCGTTCAGTGTTGTTGTCCATGAAGAGCGCCACTCCTCGGGTCCTTAATCCCGGTTTTCCCACAACTCCGTTGTCTAGCAGGCTTTTTATGGTGGCTTGGTGGCTTGGATTTTGGGTTTTGATTTGCTCTCTGTTACTCGGCTGACTTACGTTTTGGCTTATTGTTTGGGTGGGTGCATCTATGGTCTTGTTCCTTTTTGTTACCGTCTGATAGATTGTTGCGGCGTAATTTAGGAAAAGTTCCCTTGTTGTTTCCTCGTCCATTAGTGAGTGAAGTTCTGAGGATTTTAGGCAGATCCCTAGTTTGTACTCGAGGTTAAGACGAGCCCTTGTAAAGCGAGGGCATTCCAGCAAGATGTGGAATATGGACTCACTGACATCAGGGTCGCATTCACAGCTAGGGCTGTCTTTTAGCCTAAATCTGTGAAGGTACTCCGCATGTCCACCGTGCCCCGTCAAGATTTGTACCAAAGTCGGCGTCGGTTTAACCTTCCTCATTGCTTTGTATGCGTTAGCAATGTTCGGAAGGAATTTTTTTGTTACCGACGCGGTACCGGAGGTTCCGTAACGGTCCTGCCAAATGCAGACAGTTTCCTCCCTGATCTTTTTCTTGACATATGACAGAGGGACTTTGTCGTAGTCCATTTCTGCGCTGTCCTGTAAGGCCGCCGCTTTTGCTAGCTCGTCCGCCCTCTCGTTTCCGGGTGTGCCAATGTGTGCCCTTATCCAGAACAATCTTACGGTTCTTCCTTGTTTTTGGATTTCCCCTATACACTTTTGAATTTCTTGTGTTAGGGGATGACTCACCTTTGGGTTACTCAGTAGCTCGAGTGAGGATCTTGAGTCACTCAAGATGTTTACCACTGTTTCCGTGGATAATTTAGCTAACTGAGTTGCCCGTAATAGAGCGAGTAGCTCCGACTGGAAGACTGTGCAGAAGGAGTCCAACTTGAAGGTGGCGTGTTGGGTTTCCTTACCGTCGTTCCACCAGGTTAAGGCTGCACCGACCCTCTCTTCTATTTTACTTCCGTCGGTATAGATTTGAGGGCCGGATACTTGGTGAGATGATGTTGGTTCGTCTTCCAGTAGGGTATACTCTACTCTTGTGAGTTGGGAGGGATGTGGAGAGCTCAAGTGATGCGGTGTTTGCTCTAGCTCTTTCCCGGGGGGGAGGTAATCTGTCAGCTTTCTCCTCTTGGTTTTGTAGAGGTAGGCTGATTCCCTGATTCTCAGGTCGAGTGGGAGTAAGCCCGAGATGGCCATTGCGGAATTGAGCGAAACCGTGCGATACGCCCTGCAGATTTTTAGTGCAAAGCCCCTCTGCAGCGTGTCAAGTTGTTTTCTGACCATCTGCAGCTCTGTTGCTGGGTACCATGCGCTTGAGGCGTACATCACTATAGGCTCTATGACTGCTACGTAGATCGTTCTGGTTATCTCACCGTTGAGACCCCAGGTCACCCTCGCTGCACAAGCCAGTTGTTTATATATATCTGCTGCCTTTTTGCAGACTGCTGCAACGTGGTGTTTGAAGGTGAGTCTGTTGTCTATGGTGAGACCTAGAATTTTTATTTTGTCTACTATGTCTACTCTTGTACCAGACATTCTTACTGTAGGGGTTGCGTTTTTGAGTTTTTTAGTGACTACCATGGCGTTGGTCTTGTGGGGGGCGAAGCGAAGCTTGTTTAGTGTTCCCCACTGTATAACCTTATCGAGGACTTCGTCTGCTCGGCCCTCAAGATCACTCACTGAGTGCTCCGAGAAAACAAGCACGACGTCGTCCGCGAATGCCTGGCAGTGCACTTTTTCTTTAGAAAGGTGATTCAGTAGCGAGTCCAGAATGACGTTCCAAAAGGTCGGTCCTCCTATAGATCCTTGGACGCAGCCCTTAGTGGTTTTCTTCCTAAAACTCGCTCTGGCGTAGTTCACAACCACTTCTCTGTCTGTTAGGTACGAGCAGACCATTTTGTAGAGGTTGTTTGGGCACACTTTTTCTTGGCAAGTTGAAGTTTGAGCGCGGGCCACCATGCGTTATCGAAGGCGCCCTCTATGTCCAGTGAAACAACCAGCACGATCTTTTTGAGATCTGCTTGCTGCCTAATATGCGTCACCAGATCGTAGAGGGCGTCCTCGGTTCCGCGCTGAGGCATGAACCCGTATTGTCTTGAGTTTAGAGTTGGCATGACGTACCATTGGATTCGGCACACCATTAATTTCTCTAATATTTTACCTAATATAGACAGAAGGCCTATGGGTCTATACGACTTAGGTTGAGAGTAGTCGTCTTTACCCGGTTTCCTGATGATGACCACGTGGGCGACCTTCCACTGTTTTGGGAGTAGGCCAGTTTGAGGCATTTGTTAGCAATGGAGAGAAATACTTCCCTGTTGCAGTTTATGGCCGCCAAGCAGATGTCTGCTGTAAGCCCGTCTGGTCCTGGGGCTTTTTTGGGATTTAGTGCCTTTAGCACGATCTCTAGCTCGACATCCGCAAATGGTGGATCATCATCCTTAAGGTCTAGAAGTATCCCTTCTGTCATTTGCCTGATTTTCCTGTGACTTTGCTGGTCTGTTGTCACACCATCCTCCAGGGTAGAATGTATGTGCCAATAGCTTTGCCGACTCAGTTGGAGATAGTGTTTCTCCTGCGTTGTCCCGTAGGAGCATGTCCTCCTGTCTTTTGGACGTTTGTCTAATAACTCTATAGATTTTGTCCCACATGCTCTCTTTTTCCTGAGTCGTGCAAAACTCTTTCCAACTTTCTGTCTGTGCCTCCTCTGTTCTCTTTTTGTATTGGTTCTTAGCCTCGAGGTAGTCTTCGATGACCGACTGCCTCCGTTGGTGCCGCGTTCTTTATTCTGCGTTTTTTTTTTTCCTCAGAACCTCTTTTTTTAGATTTTCTAATGACTTGGACCACCAAGCTGGTGCGGGTTTTTCCCTTCCTTGGCATATTTCAGGGATTGCTTCTCCGCAAGACTCCTGAATGCATTTTATGTATGCCTCAGTGATGGCTTCCAGTTCCTCTGGCGTCTTGACACTTTTGACGCGTCTGGGTGTGATGTTATACTCCGCAAGTTTGAGTCCGAGATGTGTTGCGAAGTCTGACCATTTAGCCTTCCTTGTGTGATATTTGCGCGTTGTGCAAAGCCGAAGGTCTTGTAGACTTGCTCCTGTGCGCAAGGTGAAGGTTATGGCGTTATGGTCCGAGGTGGTGATGCTTCGATCCACACTCCAATTCTCAATCCTTCCCAGCAGTGGTGTACTGCAAGCAGTGACATCCACGATGCTGGAGCAAAGTTTCCCGTTTCTGTACGCCTCAAACGTTGGTGTGTCTCCTGTGTTGAGGATATGGAAGCCGTTCTCGTCCAGGAAGGAACTGTATGCCGCCCCTCGCTCGTCTTCCTTTTCACTGCCCCACCATTGGCTCCAGGCGTTTACGTCCCCTCCCACAATGATGTTGTTTGTGTTGAGTTTGACGCAAGCAGCCTGGGTCCGCCTTAAGTAAGGTTCTATCTCGTGATCCCCTTCAAAGTATACCGACACTAGTCCTAGGCTCATTGTACCGGTTACCAGCACAGCCGCCGCTTCTGTTTCGGTTACCAACTGAGGGTCATGGATCACCTCAAGTTTGTTCCCGAATATGATAATTGCGGCTTTCACTGGTTTTTGCCGGTTTAGGCTGCATTGGATGATTTGCGTACCTGGATACTGCTTCATGACGCCAGTACTTCCCACGTAGGGCTCTTGTACCATGGCGACCAGTACGCCGGTGTCCATTGCAGCGCGAACCAGTTCTACTGTGGCAACCTGGGATCTCTGGAGATTGGCTTGGATGAACTTTATTCCGCCTTGGTCGCCCTTAGCAATAACTTATGCGAGAACGCGCTATTGCATCCCACTTTTGCCAAATTTTGCAGTCTTTGTTGAAGGCGTTGTGTGCCAAGTCGATGCCCTCTGGATGGGATGATTCTTTGCAGTTTTTGCACATTGGAGGTAAGCCCTCAAGTCTACTGGGACATTTTTCCCACTTGTGGGCCCCTCCGCAGTGGCTGCAGAGCTCATCTTTTTCTTGGCACACACCTCTAGTATGCCCAAAGCCAAGGCATTTGGTGCATTGCACAAGAGGCGAGTGGTCTAAAATTGGCCTTCTTTGGAGACCTATGTATATTTTTCCTTCGTCTATTAGTCTCCTGTAGACGGATGGCGAGAGCTCTAGTACAGGGTGGCATTCTAATGGATTGCGCGCCTTCTTCCTGTACTTCACTCTCAACACACAGGTCTTCGTGTCAATGTCTTGTAATAGATGTTTGTTTTGACTAATAATATTTTGAACAATTTCGGCATCTGAGTGGTATGCCAGCACGTCCCGCACGATTGCCAGTGGGTTATTGGCTTTGGCGACTTCGGCTTTTAGTTCTTTGTTTTGCCGAATTTTGGTTTGGATTAGGTCCAAGTCATGTTTGCTCCCGCAGCTCAGGACGATTTTTTGATTACGCGCCTTCCTCACCCTTTCCACCCTGGCACCCGTTGTTTTTGTGTCCAGGGCTTCCCGTATAATGTCAATGACGTTCTCCCCGGTTTTTTTCGGGTCTGTCGATGACACTATAAGCGTGTGGTTGGGTTTTTTGGAGGTGGTGGAGTGGCCGCCACTCTGGCGTAAGAAGGCTTCGGTTTGCCTTCAGGTTTGGTGGCTATTCCCATTTCCGTCGCCAGGTTGACGGCCGTGTGATCCGAAGATCTATTTCGGTGTTCCCTTAACGTCCTAAGCTCCGAGCACATTATTTCAATTTTTTCCTGAAGGGGATTAATTTTCCTGTTCAGCACTTCCTCATTTATGGAAGCTGCTGTGGGATCAATGGCTTGCTGTTGTTTTGCCTGATCTTTTACTTCCTCCACTAGCTTCCTGAGGTTCGCAATTTCAGTTATGCCGTCATTAGTTGGGGAAGGAAGCGCCTTCTCCATACGCTTTAGGGTCTTGTGGCTGGACTCTATTTGTGCAAAGGTCTTTTCGCACATTTTTTGCAAGGTGGAGCGCATCTCATTTGTATTATTCGATAAGATCTCCACCTTGCCTTGTAGAGAGGAAATGTTTGCGGAGTTCTTGGCCGCTGCGTCATCTTTAGCGAAGTCCTGGAGGGCTTTGATCCGCTTTTCCTGCTCTTTGAGTCCACCCTGGATCTCACTGATTTTCCTGAATGGCTCCTGGGTTTCAAAGTCCAGCCAACTGCGTATGTTTTTGGCTTCCGTCAAGGTATTCTTGATTTCTTTTCTGGCACTATCCAGATCTGAGGCCAGTTCTTTTATCAGCCCCGTCACGGTCTTGGTGTGGGCGCGCTCTACTCGCATTAGTTCTTGTGCGCTGCGAGTGCGCTCCTTCTCCAGGTTATATTTATGTCGGGACCTGGAGTCCGATAGTGCCAGTACCATTTCGTAGAGGGACTGCAAGCACTCGAGTGCCGTCTGCTTGCACTCCCTCTTCATGTTACCGGCGCATTCTAATGCCTCCTTCCCTTTGAGGAGCATTTCATTGGCTTCCTTGGTTGCCATATCCATCTCTACGCCAAGCCGCCTGCTGGAGTTTATCAATAGGCCCCAACTGGCGTTATCCCACCGGTGCCTGAGCCGGAAACCACCGAGGAGGTGCCTCTGGTATCCGAGGGTGAGATGGGAGCCGCACTTCTGCGGCTTCGTGGGCGCAAAACGGCCCCTGGCCCCGATGGTGTGCCCGGCAGGGCTCTGGTCTTGGCCTTGGGGCCCTAGAGGAACGCTTGAGGGAGCTTTTCACCGCTTGTCTTCGGCGTGGAGAGTTCCCGCAGGGGTGGAAGGCGGGCAGGGTTGTTCTCCTTCGTAAGGAGGGACGCCCCTGAAGAATCGCCCTCGGCTTACCGGCCAATCATCCTGTTGGACGAGGCCGGTAAGCTGTTGGAGAGGGTGGTCGCCTCGCGCATCATACGTCATATGATGCGCGAGGGTCCTGACCTGTCCGACGTCCAATACGGGTTCCGACCATCGCGCTCCACAATGGACGCCATATTGTGTGTCAAGGGGTATGCGGAGGAGCAGGCGGCAAACGGCAACGTGGTGCGGTGTCTCTTGACATCGCAAACGCATTCAATACCCTGCCGTTCGCTACCATCGAGGAGGGCCTCCGATACCACCGACTCCCCCGGTACCTGCGTGCATTTATTGTGGCGTACCTACGGGGAAGGAGCGTTGTGTGTGTAGGGCGCGATGGCGTCCTCGTACAGAGGGAAACGTGGTGCGGTGTTCCACAGGGATCGGTCCTTGGCCCACTCCTGTGGAACATCGGCTACGACAGGGTACTCCGTGGTGCCCTGCTGCGCGGGCTTCGTGTTGTCTGCTATGCTGACGACACACTCGTTCTTGCCCGCGGCGCGACGCATCAGGAGGCGACCCAGCTGGCGGTGGTCGGTGTGGGACTAGTGGTGTCCCGCATCAGAGCTCAAGGCCTACGGGTGGCCCTTGAGAAAACCAAGGCCCTATTTTTCCATGGACCTAGAAGGAGGCTGGCTGCAGGCACACCACTCCGGATCGGAGAAGTGGAGGTCCGGGTCGAGTCCGAGATGAAGTATCTCGGACTCGTCCTAGACGGACGGTGGACGTTCGCCGCTCACTTTCGCCGGCTGACACCGAATCTGTTAAAGGCATCCGCTGCTCTTGGACGCCTCTTGCCTAATGTGGGGGGACCAGGGTCGGTCTGCCGCCGCCTGTACATGGGGGTCATCAGATCGATGGCCCTCTACGGAGCTCCTGTGTGGGTGGATGCCTTGAGTGCCACGAATAGAGCGTTGCTGCGACGACCCGCAGCGCGCCATGGCACTCAGGGCTATACGCGGCTACCGCACAGTGGCCGGCGAGGCGGCGTGTGCTTTGGCGGGATCCCCACCATGGGACTTAGAGGCTAAAGTCCTCGCGGAGGTATATCGCCGAGTCGCTGAGGCGAAGGGGTGCGGCGATAACGTTTCCACCGAACGAATCGCAAGGTGGCGACGCCAGGCGCGCATCATTTTGATGCGCACCTGGCAGGAACGTTTGGCGGCTCCCACTGCCGGACATAGAGTGGCACAGGCCATTAGGCCTGTCCTGGAGAAGTGGATCGGTTCCCGAAATGGCAGTTTGTCATTCCGGATGGTGCAGGTGATGACTGGGCATGGATGCTTCGGTCATTACCTGCACGCTATCGGGAGGGAACCGAGCCAAAGGTGCCACCATTGTGCCTGCGCCGACGATACGGCGCAGCACACGATGACGGAATGCCCGGCGTGGGAGGAGCCGCGAGGGCGGCTCCGTGACGTCGTCGGGTCGGATCTCTCGCTGCCGGCCATCTTTAGAACAATGGTCGACAGCAGGGCGGCGTGGAGGGCGATGGCCTCCTTCTGCGAGACAGTCGTTTTACAGAAGGAGGAGGCCGCCGAAAGGGAGAGGGAGGAGAATGCTTCTTCCGACCCGATCCGGCGACGTCGCATGGGGAGAAGGCGGGCGGCACACGAGCGCCGTCTCCCGCCCTAATGGGCCTCCGGGTGACAGACGTGGGGACGTCTGTCACCTAACGGTATGAGGCCCCGCGAAGACTAAGTGCCCACTGGTGTCATGGGCACTCATGCGGAGAACGGGGACAAAAGTCCCTTCGTGGTGTGCCCCAGCCCTGTGCAGGGTCGGGGTAGCCGTGGCTGGGTTGCAGCAGAATCGCTTAAGCGGGCCCTGCAATCCAGCATTTGACGGCAGAGGAGGACACCCGATGGGTTTTAGTTGGTAGGTCTGCCCTTCTCAGAGCGGGAGTCCAACATAACTCTCCTTGCTTCCCCTAAGGAGAGTATGCATGATGCATTTCCCATCGTTAAAAAAAAAAAAAAAGGTTAGGTTAGGTTAGGTTAGGTTAGGTTAGGTTAGGTTAGGTTAGGTTAGGTTAGGTTTTTTTTTTTTTTTTTTTTTTTTTTTTATGTTTTCCACCAGAGATTATAACCGTCCCTGATGGCCGTTTATTGATTAGATTTTCTACAGAGTTTCAAATTGGTAAACTTATAGTTAATATTGTTACACGATTTAAAAATATTCAACGCATAACTGCTATTGGATACAGTTATGCGTTGAATAATTTATAATATTTTAAAATTTAATTGATAAGTTAATCCCATTAACATTTGTAGTTTGATATTTCAATATTGTTATTCTCTGATATTGAAATATTATTTCCATTAAATCTCTTATCATACCTTAACGCTACTATATTAGAGTCTTAATTATTATGCATTGGTTCACATTGTAGTGTTCAAGTGGATATTTTAATAGTTATTTTATTTACAAATTTTTATTTTTAATTGAATATAATGTTAGGACATGGTAAATAAAACGATATCAAGAAGGGACCTTAAATTAACACTTACAACTAAGGGAAGAGAGAAATTAAAAAGTGTTTATTCTTATTCTAAACATAATTAACGGTAAATTATACAAACAAAGCAATGAATTATGACTAAAACACATACATTTTTTATGAATAAAAAGGTAACTATACAAATCTTAATGAATAACTAATATAACATAGTTACAACCTGTA